CGGTCGTCGCGGCGGGGTTCGTTCCCCCGATCCGATCTGGATCGGGGAGGAGGGGAGAGCGAGTGGGGGGGAGGGGCGAGTGGGGCGTTAGGGTTTCGGTCGGGGTGGGGTGGCCTATAGGCCACGGGGGTGAAGGGGCCGCGTGGGCCGGCCTGGTGGGCGGCTGGTCGGCCAGCTGGGCCGTTTGGCCCGGGGGGGCTCTTTCTTTTTATTAGTTTTCTGTTTTTGTTTTTCCTTTTTATTTATCTTATATCTTTTCTGTTTTATCTTGTTCCTCATTTTATTTTAGTTTGTTAAAATACAAAAATGATCCCTAACTTAGTACTACCACTAAACCCACTGCAATAAAAATTTTAACACCTAAATAGAATAGTTTAACATTTTATTAATTATATAATGCATTTCAATAATTGTTTTGACTACTGTTTTATTCATTTTAGAGTATTTAAAGATTTTATATAAGTGTGGTTTCTCCATCATAACTATCCATGATTTATTTGAATCCACCCGAACATTTAGTTTTAATATTTGAAAACTTTTACTGTTTGCCTTTATTTTTAAATTTGAATTTTGAACTGGGTTTCGAACTACGCGGGTTTATCAACAGTAACCGAGGTGACGTGGCATCATTAGCAGAGATTCACTGTAGCTTAATTATCCGGGCGTTACACATGAACACTTGAACTGACATGAGATTTTCCTTTTTGTGAACTAAACTGACATGTGGTTGCTTCAAAAGGATATGCACATGAATAATGAATAGCTTCATGACATAGGCATTTCCTTCATTTTTTTACCCTTTAAGGTTGCTTATTTATGTGTTGAGAATTTAGTATGCTTTATTTTCCTGAGACTATAATCATCTCAACTAGGTAGGTATTTGTGTGGCTTTGGTCATCCCAAATTTTGTGTGCATTCCTTTTTTCTTTTCTGGTTAGCTTTGCAAAGCAATAATTATGATAGCTCCTTATTGTACAGTATGGCATCCTCGAATAGTAGCCTTTCTCCACTGCTAAGATGTTGATAGCATGGTGCCTATAGGACATGTTTAGATCATGTTTAATCTTCCAAGTTTAGCAGAGAAAGTATGGCATGCACGTGGTTTTCACTTCCAGTGAGATTTCGTTGAAATTTACTGAATTTCATTAATTTCAGTGGACACGTAGTACATAGGAATTCAAATGTATTTTTCAAAATTTCAGCATTTTCAGTAGTACATAGGAATTCAAAATATATTACTCAAAATTTTCATCTATTTTGTTAAATTCAAGTGAATATTTCGGTCTTTTGGCCGAAATGCAAACCGAAATTACTGAAATTCACTGAATTTCGGTGATTTCAGTTGTTGCTGCAATTTTTCTATTGAAAATCCCATGCATGCCATACATGTCATATAGAAAATGTTATAAAATTCCCTCTCTTAATTACCTTTTTGTCGAATGCTTTACTGAGTTTTTTGTTGCTTCTAAGCGTTCTACAACTGTATACGTAACAAATAGTGTTTGTCTGAATTTGTACCTTAATGAGGACAAGCTGAGAGAAACTGAGAGTGGGGAAAAAATTGCCCCACTCACGAGTGGTGCCATTGCGCAACTCGGTCGTTGTTGTTGAGCCCAACAATTGAACTTCTGAAGATAACAAACGTCCATATCCAAAGGGAGTGAACTCAGTTCTTCCAAAGACCACTGCTGATTTTTTCAATCTTTGTTCCAAGTTTGCATCTTTGCCATGTTCACTTAGACAATGCTTATATGTTTCATAAGCTCTATCAAGTTCACACAAGAAAATAGAGACATTATGAAATGCTCATGAAATGTTTGATTCCATTTTTACACCAGACCAAGTAGAACTAAAGATGTCCTATAATTGATATGTTATGTTATCTAGGAGTTGCTCATCGAACTTGAAGTGTGACATTATACCATTGTGATTTTTTCTTGGTCCGCTCAAACTTCACATGACATTCTTGAAATAGGCAATTCGTCAGATAACAGACACCGAATCGCTTATCGATTGCCCTAAAATTTCCATATAGTATCTACAACATGTATATATTTGTGTATAAATTTAATCTTGGCACAACTTTGCTAAGCTTACTGGCTGTCATAAAATATCCAAATTTAATCTTGGCACAAGTGTGCTAATAGTTTGATAGCACCAAGGATTACAAATCTGATGTTTGCTAGGGGTTTCTGAAAACTTGATTTTTGTATATTCTGTCCTGCAAAATACAATTTCATAGGTTTTTTCCCTTCTTTTCTTTAGAGAGAAAGGGACAACAAGGACTACAGTCTTTTATTTTTCAAAATTATACGCTTATATAAATATTATTTGTCAAAACGCTCACTAGTACAACATTAGTTCAAAGCTGCGACACTTATTATGGATCAGAGGGGGTAATATTTAAATAGGAACATTCTTTACTGTTCAGGCATGACATTTACCACAGATACGGAATCGATCAGCCAATTATTATCTTGATATTTGTTCCACAATCCACAGATCTTGGTAGCTGTGGGCATACACTCAAACATGCGAAAGGAATACATAACTGATACTGAATAACCGAGTCCGAGACACTGAAGAACAAAAATCTGAAGTTCCAAGTTTCAGCCATTGCAACCAGTTTGATACCAGTAAGGCTGCAACATTAATGCCCAAAAAGGTACCGCAATTCAAGCAACATCGTTTGCAGAAGCTACGCTCCAGTAGCAATCGACGTGGACTTCTGTCGGCCATCTGGGATGGCAAAAAGCACAATTGGTTTGGACGACCGGACAAATGGAACATCACACCTGTAGTACCCTTTCCTTTCGAGCTGTATAACTTCTCCTTTCTTGACGTTCCGCATGTTTGGGTCTCCAAGAGCTAAAGCTTCTCGGCGAGTGCAAGGGTTGAGATTGTCAAGGAAGTCCTCATCTTCTTCCAGCTGCAAAAAGTGCTAGATATTAGGATCTAAAGTACATGTAGATACCACTTAATGATGAACTGAGACATGGACATAATGATCGAAGAGATAACTCATCCAAGGAAACATCATCACATCATATAAAAAGAAGAAAACTAAATATCATGTACATCTGCTTGCAACACTAATGGAGTGGAATATGGATAGGTTGCCATGTTGAGTTTCCAAGGACCAACCAATTCATCGAAAGTCTCAAGCTGTTGACTACTGAGGAAAGATAAGTTGGCCAAACCAAGCATAGTTGACAGATAGTAACAGTACCACAGAAGTATCTAATAACTAGTCCAAGTGAAAAGGCATTCATACTGCTAGAGCAATAAATAATGTAGCACACATGTAGTGTAAGAATATGGTTCTGGCACCCATGTGATTGCATGCCTACCAACATGAACTTAGAACATGATTTCTTACCTTCTTTTTATTAATTAGATAGTCAAAATCTACCAAAGAGAGAGACACAAGGTCTTCAATGTCTGATAGCCATGTTAGTTTCAGCTTTGTCATCTTCACTGAGCCTTCAAGATGGAGTTCACCAACTAGTTGAGTGATTGTTCCATTATCTGTCTTGATTTCTCTAATGATAGCATTTCCCCAGTCCATCAAAGTGACTTCCTCACCCACACTAATGACTGATGCATCAGCATACTCTAGCCAAATTCTGTTGGCGAACGTTGTAGCCTTCTTCCCAGCACCCTCGTATTTCTTGTGCCGTGGTAAGATTCGAACAAATGGTTCCTCTGGGCCATTAGAAAGTGTGAGAAGCACACGTTTTTCTTTCAGCACAGCAGTATGCCTTCCACAAATTGGATCAACTATCTTCTTGTTGATTGTCCAGAGTTTATCCCACTCCATAAGATTCAGATTTTTTGACGCACCCTTCACAAATAGAAAATACAAAAAAGGGAGTTAATAACTCAGTTACTCAAATATACATATAATTACAAGATCATAAAAGAGCAACTCGTCAGAAATTACCTGTTCCAGTATAAATTGGATCAATGCTTCAATCTTCAGACCACGACGTACTATGCCTTGTACAGTGGGAAAGCGTGCGTCAGTCCAGTCCTCCACCATCTTGTTTTGGACGAACCACAGAAGCTTGCGCTTGCTAAGAACGGTATAAACCATATTCAGCCTGCTGAACTCATAGATCTCTACCCTCCGCAGGCCCATGTCTTGAAGGATACGATAGTACTGTGCATTCCGATCATGGTATTCACTTGAACGAAGAGCATGAGTGACTCCTTCCAGTGCATCAACAAATGGACAAGCAAAGTCATATGTTGGATAGACCTTGTATTTTGAGCCCACGCGATGATGGGGATCAGGGTTGCAACGGTAGTACACAGGATCTCGAAGTGATTTGTTCGGGTCCTGCATGTCAAGTTTACCACGTACACAGCACTGAGTACCCCTTGTGGTGCCATTAACCATCTCTTTCCACAAGGACAAGTTCTCCTCAACAGTACTGTTCCTACATTTAGATTCCACACCATCCATCCTTTCACTCCTCATTTGCTCCTTGGGTGTATCATCAATATATGCCTTTCCCTGCTTAATCAAACTTTCAGCCATTTCCATTAGCTTTGGGAAATAATCCGATGTGTATGTAACTACATCGTATTTAACCCCAAGCGTCTCAATATCTTTCAGGACATTCTCCACAAATTCATTGCTTTCCTTAGAAGGATTTGTGTCATCAAATCGAACTATTAGACGCCCTTTATATCTCTCTGCAAAATACTTGTTCAACAGTGCAGCCTTTGCATGACCAATGTGGAGATACCCGCTAGGCTCTGGGGCAAAACGAACACAAACCTCCCCAACTTTTGCACCTGGGAGATCTATTTCATGACCTGACGTGTTCTCCTTCAAACCAAGCACCTTTTCTTTCAAACTTGGCGCAGGAGATTTGCCAATTCCTCGCTTGCCAACATAAGCAGATGTAACTTCATCCAGTGCATCTCCATAGTCTGCAGCTACACTGTTAAACCAGCGTACAAGGCTTTGATATTTCTTTGACCTCCTTAGACTTTCCCATCGTTGACCAGTTCCTGAAGAAAAGAGTTGTGACCTCTAAGGCAAGACACAGAGAGAGGGAGAGACCAATAAATTACTCAACAATGAAAGAAGCCAGGTAATTACCTGTGAGATTTGACCACACGACAATGTCAGCAATTGATAGGCCATAACCAACCAAAAAGGTTCGAGTTGCCAAGTATCCATCAAGAAATGAGCAAGCGGCTTCAAATTCAGAGCCTGAGAGAATGAGTGGTGCGTACTCGAGCCATTGGTCAACCTACAGATTTGCAAACAATAGCAACTCAGGACATAGTGAGATGATAGTGAAAATCAATGACAAACACCATAAAACCAGAACATACTTGTGCTGCCTGAATATCGTCCTGGCCATAGAAGCTGGAAACAGATGCAGCACGTGCAATGTACCGGAGAATTGTGTTCACACCATGTATAAAATCCCTGTGCAGAATCATGATAGATTCACTGAGACACTACAAAATACCATACAAAAATACTGCTATATTTCACAAATAAAACTGTTTTGCTTGACACATAATGTTCTAACAGACGTGAGTGCCATCAACACAATTTTCTGGAACCAGGAATTTTAGGATGAGGAGATTAAAATCCCTGTGCAGAATCATGATAGATTCACTGAGACACTACAAAATACCATACAAAAATACTGCTATATTTCACAAATAAAACTGTTTTGCTTGACACATAATGTTCTAACAGACGTGAGTGCCATCAACACAATTTTCTGGAACCAGGAATTTTAGGATGAGGAGATTAAAATAAGAGGTAATCTTCAGAGCCAACTACAGTAACTATTCAAACATATAGCTCTTAAAAAAAACTAGTCAAACATATATCATGGTAATAAAGTGTCCATAGTTCTTGTATAAAATAAAGGAAATGTGGTACTTAATCAGAGAGAGGGAGGGAAGCTAAAAGGTATAAATGAACACTGATCACTTACCCAGAACTGAAGTGTAGTGTGGGCACTGAACCTGAGGCAAGGGTCGGATCAATGATTACGGAAACACCTGCAATCTTAGCAGCCGAAATGATGGAAAGTGGCGGTCTGTCCTGGGGGAATGCTAGTTTGACCTCCATTCGGACCATTGCCAACCAAAGAGCGGAAATCTGCCAATGGCAGATAAATATTGTCAGCCAGACAGATCAATGAACAAGTCATGAGCCAGCATGGCATAATATGGAAGGTGGAACCTGAAGATCAATCAGCTAACACGCAAAAGGAGAAACAATCACTTTAAGAGAAACAATCACTTTAAATGGTAATATTTTAGGTCTGACTGCTAAAATCAACAACACAGTGTAACAGTACCACTATATTCCCAATTATAAACAAGATTTGGAACATCTATCATGCCAACAATACCACTAGTACTAATGTGTTAACAAATTTCGGCCAGTATAATAACCAAGACAAAGCTCCTAGTCTCTCGAATTGCATGTAACTGCTAAGCTTTGATTTCAGGTCAAGACCGTGCACATAAAACAACTTAATCCTTTCCTTTTCATATATCATCATTCACTGAAGTTTCACAGCTAACATGTTCAAACCAAAACATTTGCTCATCTGAAAAAAAAAACGAACTACAATTTGTAAACATTTGCCCCTACAAGCATTATCACAAACACATTCCAAGCAAAATCCATCCACATGTAAACTCGAACGTGCACTGGAAAAATCATGCGGCAAGCACTCATCAAGAAATAGTCATCATTATATTCGCACAATATCCAACCTACAGCAAATACTCATCCCATACAAAAATCAGGAACAAAAATTGAACAGACAGAGGATGCAAGAGGAAGGAGAGGGTGGGTGAGGGAAGAGGGGGGGAGGAGGGACGACGAAGGAGTGGTGGCTACCTGCCTATGGACTGGTCGCCCGCGTAGCTCCGGGCGGTGGCGCTGCTGGGCGGGGTCGGCTGCTCCAGGGAGGGAGGCGCTGCTGGTGGGAGCAGCTGCTCGACGGAGGGAGGCGCTGCTGGGATCCTGTACCGACGTCGGGGCAGCGGAGGCTTCTTCGGCCGGCTGGGCGCTCCGCGGCGGACGGCCGGCTGGGCGCTCCGCGGCGGACGGCCGGCAGTAATGGCGGCGGGACGGCGGCGGCTAGGAACCCTAATATTATTTTTTTGACACTTGGCTAGGAACCGTACTAGTCTCTCTGAAGCCTGAAGGGCGAAGGAAACCCCTGCGAGTCCTACCACGGTCCACAGCTCGCCTACAGCAGGTATTGGCCCGGCCCAGTAACCGCGTCCCATCATCATGCTAATGTCATGTCGTTTTTCCACTTCCGTTTTTAATCACATTTTGCTATATATATTACGAAAATACTTTACATAATTTTTTAAAAGGTTAATCTTGTATTTGAAAAATGAAAAACGTGTATAGAAAATGTTTATACATTGTAAAAAATGTTTGTATTATTAAAAAAGAATGATTGGTCATAAAAAATGTATGCTACATTTAGAAAAATGTTCACAAGTTTCATAAATGTGTTCGTGACATTTTCAAAAAAGAAGGTTTGTACAATGTAAAAAAATGTTTGCTTAATTCAGGAAAATTGTTTATCATTAAAAAATCCAACGTGTACATAACAAATATTTAACATGTACTAAAAATGTTCAAAACATGATTTTGTAAAAATATTAAACATGTATTTGAAAATGTGAAACATTTATATAAAATCAATTTTAGATGTATAAACGAAAAGTGTACAATGTGTATGAAAAAAAACTAGAAATCAAAATATATATTAAAATAATGTTAATTATGTACTGGAAAGATTTTAAACGTGTGTAAAACAATATTCCTAATGTATACGAAAAATATACAATGCATATGAAAAATGTAGACATGTGTTGAAAAAAAGAAAAATGAAAAGAAGGCAAAAGCAAAGTCAGAGAAACTCAGTGAAACCTAGAGAAAGAAACAAAAACCAAGAAAGTAACACGGAAAAACGAGGGAAAAAAATAGAAAGGTAAAAGAAAAAACAGATGAAGAGACCAAAAAACCAAAGAAAAAATGAAAGTGAAACCAAAAACTGAAAAAAGCGCTATAGAAAACTTGAGGAAAACAACCTACAAACAGTGGAAAACCGAAAGAAAGAAAAACCGTGTGGCACGCTATAATGTTGGGCGGGCCTGCTAGCGCCCGCCCATTGGTGATTCTTATTAGAAATCAGTAAAGGGCGATATATAGCCTTGGCGGTTGCATGCGGTCGCCTTCGCCATGATGGGCCGGTACCTGTGGTTGTCTAGTAGACGGCCTTTCAATTGTTGTCTATGTAGTGGATGACACAATTTGGTACACAAAAGTAACTCTTTTTGAGGCTAATTATTCTTATTTTTAGTTGGAATTTAGGACGGTAAAACTGAACCTAATCCCTAGTCTCTCACGCCTTCAGACACCTGGACCGTACATTTTTCTGATCTGGCCGTCTGATCTGATCTAGGCGCCTCGTTTGTGTTTCGTGGGCTGGCTCTCCTAAGGAGACGCTACTCTGGCGGCTGAAACACAGTATATTGGTTGATTGGAGTATTCGGCCTAAGGGACCGACCCATTAGGTAGCTAGGGATGATGAGTGTTTGCGTGGTTCCCATGCGGATGCAAAGGCGATGGCTCGAGAGCGACTTCTCTGCTCTCCCCCGTCTAAGGCGACAACGACACTAACAATCCGAACCCCATGACGACTCCCTCCGCCCCAACCTCCTCTTGTAGTAGCATAGGACGATTGGGATGGAACCACCGCCACCGTTCCTCGGCCACTCTGATCCCCCAATGACTACGAAGTTGATGACTTATCCCTCTTCTTTGTTGTCACCTTATCGAGGGCCTTGCCCGCCTGGCTTCTTCATCCGCTCGCCGTTGGCTGAAGCAACTAAAGGGGGGCCGGTTGTCTTTGTGACGGCGTAGCCTTGCGGCCGACCTTCGTGGACGGCGTGACAAAGAGCATGGTGGTCTTCGTTCCGAGCCATATCCTTGCCGCATTCATTTACGCTGGTGGTGTAACGCTGGCGGGAGGAGTCGCCTATGGTGCAAAGGTGGTGGGCGGTTCCATTCCCGATGCAATTGGGGTGTCCGGGCCTGCAGTGGCTATCTGGTGCCTGCAGTGGCGGGGGCAGGAAGAGGAGGCGCCGCGGGCACGAGAGGAGCAACGAGAATCTTTTGTTGAAACTTTGAGGCGCTCAAATTTACGCTAATTGGGAAACTTTCGAGGCTTAACTTCTTAAACTTTTGAGTTAACCGTTTGAGGGTTTGGTTAGCTACAACTTAACTCCTTAACATGAAATCCTTTGAAGAGTTAAGCGTTTTTGAGAATTCAGTTAGTGATGCTCTAAGATGTCAAAATAACGCTGTGGCAATTGATGCTCTCTGTGGACAAGTTTGTGTTTGCCTTTGGTGTTATTTACTCTTTAGTTAAAAAAATCACACTTAACATGTTCTTGTTTTTCAAGACGTGGCTCATTTTGGTAATGCCTTTATTCTAGTAGGAGTAAAAGAGGCGAACTTTTATTTTTACATGGCGTATTCTCGGATGTTGAGGCTTTCATGTATAGTTCACCAGCAAAGAAAGTAATAAAGAAATAAATAATGATCGTATGGCCTAAAATTGCCATCACTTTCTTGACCACACTTGCGCCGCCTACTTCATCAGAGACAAGTTTACTGCCACGTTGCATGCAGACCGTGAGCTAGCTGATGATGTGAGAATCAACATGTGATCCATCATCCAATCACACGTCTCCATTCTCCAACAAGATCCCTAGGCCTAGCCACAACATATCTCCTTTCTCTGGGTCTCAAGTTGCCACGTCCTGAGGGATGACGAGATCCCTGCTGCACCAATAGCATCGAAGATCACGATTTTTTCCCTGTCTATATCTATCTTGTCGGTACACACACAGACCAGAGCACAATCCCCTATGTTAGCTCCAGTTCCTTAAATAGCTCCATCCTCCACACGTCTCAAACCATCTCCACACTCTTCAGTTTTCATTGTTTGGAGAACACACAATACACCTCCCACCTTAGCAGCGCAATGGCGACCACCACCATGTCCCTCTCCTCGACCTTCGCCGGCAAGTCGGTGAAGAACGTGGCTTCATCAGCTCTCTTTGGTGAGGCCCGTGTCACTATGCGCAAGACCGCTGCAAAGGCCAAGCCGGTTTCATCAGGCAGCCCATGGTACGGTGCCGACCGTGTGCTCTACCTCGGCCCGCTTTCCGGAGAGCCCCCGAGCTACTTGACCGGCGAGTTCCCCGGCGACTACGGATGGGACACCGCCGGGCTCTCGGCCGACCCCGAGACCTTTGCCAAGAACCGGGAGCTCGAGGTGATCCACTGCCGGTGGGCCATGCTCGGTGCGCTTGGATGCGTCTTCCCCGAGCTTCTTGCACGCAACGGCGTCAAGTTCGGCGAGGCGGTATGGTTCAAGGCCGGTTCCCAGATCTTCAGCGAGGGTGGCCTCGACTACCTGGGCAACCCCAGCCTCGTGCACGCACAAAGCATCCTTGCTATCTGGGCATGCCAAGTCGTGCTCATGGGCGCTGTTGAGGGGTACCGCATTGCTGGCGGCCCACTCGGTGAGATAGTCGACCCACTCTACCCCGGGGGCAGCTTCGACCCACTGGGCTTGGCTGACGATCCAGAGGCATTCGCGGAGCTCAAGGTGAAGGAAGTCAAGAACGGTCGCCTCGCCATGTTTTCTATGTTTGGCTTCTTCGTGCAGGCCATCGTCACCGGCAAGGGCCCACTCGAGAACCTCGCTGACCACCTCTCCGACCCTGTCAACAACAACGCATGGGCGTTTGCCACAAACTTTGTCCCCGGCAAGTGAGGCGTTGGCGCTCGCTAGCTGCGTGTTGTAGCCATATATCAAGGCAACTGCGGTGAACTGCACACATAATGGGTGGTTCAAATTGTAACATCACGGTGTAAATTACAAGGATCTTTGGGGAAATGGTTTGATCTGCCCGCTTGCTTCATGTCCTGGATGTAGCCTGTGTGTTGCTCCATGAGAAATGAGAACGATGAATACTTGGGCGTTACTTAGTCAGAGGTCGCTCTTCGTGATGGCAACTTATGCTCTC